GGGGGGCGAGAGGCAAATCGGGTAATGCTCCGGCCGGCTTTGCTGGGTAAAATTAAGTTGGCGACCGGACCCATCGACCCTGAGCTGAGACTGGCTCGCCACCTGCCAGGCCCCACGGCCCCACACGGCCCGCCCCTCGGGCCACTGGCTGCCACTGGCCGGGCCCACGGGCGCGGGCGCCGCAGCCAGGAGACTGGCTTCCCCCTCCCTTCTCGTCCAGGCCTGGATAAGATCAAGAGTGAGTTTCAAGCTTCAAAGTCACTGCCCTAGAAATCTTGAATACACTTGCCAGACTTGTTCACAAATTTGCTGTTTTCAAGTTACACAATTTAAAAAAAGAAAGAAAAAAGTTTCAGTTGAGTAAATTTTAAATGTATCAACTGCTAAAAACAACTCCTCTGCATATCACCTTATAGTCACTGACTCCCCCCCTGGGTGGCTACCAATAAGTGACACCTGCGCAGCCTGCGCTCCCCAAAAAGCCCCCCTCTGCTCCCTCCCCTCAGCCACCTCAGCTTAGTATTGCAGTACTGGGGCTTCCTGACCTGACCCGCCAGACTGAGTCCATGAGAGGGCAATCTAAAAGAGGCAGCATGTCTGTGAAACAATACAGAAGACTAAAGCTAACTTTTTTGGAATGAAAAATAATTCCTAAAAAAAAAAGATGACAAGTAGGCAGGCTGATACACTGGAACTGATTTCTGATGGTTGGCTGTGTAGTGTAATTACCAACGGGAGACAATAGTGTTTAGAATTCATGAGGTTGGTGTCAACTACGCATATGTAAACATACATAACCAAAGTAGAGATTAACACCCATCACAAGCCAGTGATTAAGATGTAAGTTTCAACAAAGACAACAGTACAAAGAGTGAGAACTTGTATGGTAAATTAGATTAGTAAGTATAAATAAAGTAAAAATAAATAAACTCACCTGAATGCTAGAGCCAGCTTATTCTCTAAATAGCGGATCATGGAGTTGATAAACGTAGCTGGCACTGCTACTCCCAGCCACTTCATCAGCATAATAGAGAAATTCCAGATGTCTCGACGCACAATAAATTTCACAATTTGTCCTTCCATGGACGCCACATATATTGACAAGAAAGTACGAGTAAAAAGAGCTAATGTGTGAACTGACAGAAGAGCAACTTCGCCACACCACAGTCCAGGAATCATGATGCGTATAAGCTTTTCCAATTGTAGTAAAAACTCTTGGTTGACAGCTGGTGAAGAGCGTCTTTCCTTTGTGGCTGGCCCTTTGTTCCCATTGTCAACAGTCTTGCCATTGGCCACATGTTCGTTATTGTTCGTAGACACATCTTGACCATTAGCAGGAACTACAGTGCCGTTTCGAGTCCGACTGCCCTTCACGTCCTTCACACCATTTAATGTGACACTTTTCTTGCAGAGTTGTTGTATTAATGGATAGCCCAACTTGATGCCGTACAAACACACAGCAGTGCCCAGTATGGTCTTCGACAAGTACTCTCTGGGTATGTTGTACTTGGCGGCCGTGCTGTCCAAAACCCTCGACATCACGTTCGGCATCTTGACTGTCTTGTTCCCGACTTCACTTGAAAACAAACAGACGAACCTAACCTCAAATGTAAGGTTACGGTCCCTTGGCTGCGGGCGCCCGCGTCACTCGCACACACACACAGTCTCACTCGCGGGCTCGCGGACTTCACATCTCTCGCCGAGACGGCGACTCGCTACTCGCACGCTGCCCCGCTCGCCGTGACACTCGCGGGGGAATGGCGATGGACCTCGCAATCTGCGCGCTGCGCTGGACAGACAACGGCGGCGGACTGCGCGGCTGAGCGCGGCGGGGCGTGGCGTGGCGGGGCGGAGCGCTGCGGCCTGCGTCGGCCGTGCCGTCCCGTCTTCAACTGGCGCGGGGCCGGGGGCCGGGGGCCG